AACAACCGCGGACCTCTGATGTTTATACAGTGAACAAATGATGTAAGGGCGCAACCCGTTCTCGCAAATTTAATAAGTCAATATTGACTTATTAAATATGTGCTTAGGTGACATACTTAACATAATAGTTTCCCTTGAAAAGCTTCATAGAAAACACCGACCTTACCTAACCTACTTAGTATGTTAAAATAAGCATCTTATTGCTTCGTAATTACAATTATTACCTAACCTATACCTATAATAGGTTAAGTAACAATTGTAATTACGAAGCTATAAGATGCTTATTTTAACATACTAAGTAGGTTAGGTAAGGTCGGTGTTTTCTATGAAGCTTTTCAAGGGAAACTATTATGTTAAGTATGTCACCTATGCACGCAACTAATAAGTCAATATTGACTTATTAAATTTGCGAGAACGGGTTGAAGGGCGAAGAGGGCGAACGGCCTACTGACATAGCTCGGGTGCAGGGGGGGCGTTGTGTAAAAACCTGGTTTGTGTCTCGGAGAGGCTACGGGATCCAGTAAGTTCAGTAGAACTACGGTTTCAACCCTTTTACCCTGTCGTAGCTCAGTCGATTAAAGCAGTGTCTGGTATGCTCCCGGACGCAGGTTCGAATCCTCGTCACGGCCCTTGTGGATTTGTTCATTTGATGCATCACGTTAGTGTGATCTCTGTGTGTGATGTTTATACAGTGTTCTCTGATTGTGCCTATGGCACCTATCTTCACTGGTTCTATTCTGCATTTTCTTCCATATCGTTCACTCCAGTATGTTGTTATTTTACTGTGTAGATTTGGTACTTGGCCCTCCAGTATCTTCCAGGTGTATATTATTTGATATCTCTCTCGTCTTCTTTCTAGTGAGTACATTTGGGTGGCTTTGAGATGATCCCAATAATTTAGGTGCTTTATCGCGTCTATGTGTGCCGTATATGTTCTCTGTACTCCCTCTATTTCTGCAATCTCTCCTATTCTGAAGGGGGAGGTTATCTTGAGGTTATTTTGAGATGATTCCGGGGCTTAGCGTCCCCGCGGCCCGGTCCTCGACAAGGCCTCCTTTTTGTTACACACCCCCTGGAAACAGCCCGTAGCAGCTGTCTATCTCCCAGGTACCTGTTTACTGCTAGGTGAACAGGAGCATCAGGGTGAAAGTAACTGCCCATTTGTTTCTGCCTCCACCGGGGATCGAACCCGGAACCTCAGGACTACGAATCCGAAACGCTGTCCACTCAGCTGTCAGGTCCCCCATGCCAGTGGGGGAAGTGAGTACTGAGCAGTACTCAAGCGGGACAGCACAATCATGCTATTATTCCTATCGTGCATTATTTATTTTTCCCTTTTGATGTGGACAGACTTATTGCTTCCTGTCACTTCTGGGTGATGTAGTCCGTTACATCTTGTACTGTCTTTTCTCTGAACTCTGTTTTCCCTCTGGAAATTATTGGGAATTTTCTCATCTCATGATTTCTCCTCCGGTATGCCAGATTTGTGTTGTCTGGTCTCCTCTCTGAATATGTGCCTTCGTATGCGTGTGCCCGCGTTCATATCCCTGTTATTTTTATCTACAGTGTAATGCAGAACACTCCTGCGACCATGCAAAAGCAGCTTGTAAAAATTATTGCAAATAACGTCGGGTTGAGCTTGGAGCAGAGCTGCACGATGCAACACGTCTGGGAGCTTCAAGCAAGGTTTAGGCGCGCCAGGCAGAATAACGCGAGGCATTCTCAGATATCCTATTACCTCTTGGATATCTTGTTATCTCCCGCGAGAATCCCTCCCAAACCTACAGTCAAATATATAATATAAAATCATTGCAAGGAGATAAGGTATAAATTTATTATAATTAGTTTTTATTTTTTTTTACCTACCTCTCCATGTGGCAATATATATATATAACCCGGGTTGCTGGCGATGGTGATCTTGCAAGGTGAACTTTCTATGCTTCTAGCTCCTGGCTGTCAGCACTAAGAAGAGTAATCAAGTTACCAAAATTCATGGTCAAGAAACTCAAGTAATTATTGAATTACTACAGTTTTCTGTCATGTATCTATCTAGTGATAGATGACGGATACATGGATTGATAGATGGATAGATAAGTGGATGAATGCATAAATGGAGAATTAAATGCATAGGTAAATAGATTGAAATATAAGTAGATATATAGATGAAGAAACAGATAGACAGATGGGAGACAGATTCGAGCAACGCCAGGTATCCTCAGATTATTCTATGATAAATTGGATGTCCCGTTGCCAGTCTGAGAAACTCCCAACTTGGCAGGGGGAATGGTCTGAGGTATGGGATGAACATAGGCCATCATGGTTCCCAGAACTCAAAAGGGAACAACTGCTAATTGTAAATAGTTCACACTGCTATACTCCTCCCACCAGCAACCACCTGATAGCAATAGTATTTTTTTATTAGAGACAGAGACAGATAAAGAGGCAGAAAGAGAAAAAGAATAAAGGTAGAGATACACAGACACATAGGTGGATGCATGGATAGATAGATGGTTAAATAGGTGGATGGATAGGTAGATGGATAGACAGATAGATGGGGAAAGGAAAAAGATGGATGGATAGATCGATGGAAGTATATGGAGATGGGAGACAGGCAAACATACATGGACAACACTGGGTACACTCTCTATTGTGTGTGTGTGTATATATATATGTGTGTATATATATATATGTATATATATATATATATATATATATATATATATATATATATATATATAAATTTACAAATAAAAGGGAAGGGAGTACCACCTCTAGCTGGAAGATGGGGGACCCATAGCCTCGGAGGAAAGCACACATAACGCATTGGAGGGAATGTAGGTCCCCTCCAATACAGTTTCTGTGTGCTTTTCTCCTACCACCCCCTTCCTTTTTTTTTTTTTTTTTTTTTTTTTTGCTTTATTGTGTATTTAAAGGTTACAAAACATACAAGACAAATGCCTAAAGGTTATGGATCTCTTGAAGCTCCTCCGCTTCCGGACAGGAACCGAGGACGCAGCAAGCATTTCCCCTCTGGATCGCCACACTGAGGCGCTGAAACAAAAAACTGGAAGCCCTTGGGTCTCTGGTGACGTCAATGAGCTTGGAACCCAATTCCTTGAGAAATCCCAAGGCACTCTTGCCCCAGGGACAATGCGTCTCAGACGCTATGGGAACAAAGAGGTATTGACCTTCCAGTCGCCTGTACTTGAGTGATTTTGCTGTTTCCCTGTGGTTGGCCGCCCCACCTGCATGATCAGCTCCCAAGTGTACATAGGTGTCAGCCAGGGTGGATACACATGTGTAGTCCCACACCAACTGTCTACCCTCCTTCCATGAGTATATGGTGATGCCATCAGGGCGAAGTGCGGGGAAATCCGGGTTTTGGACCCCTAAGATGCGAGGTTCTCTCTCCGCTGGACACCTAGCTGAGACGAGGCTTCTCTTGATGATGTCATTGACCTCGTTGTGTCTTGCATGCCAGCCCTTTGTGCTTCCGCAATGCAACCCATGCAGTCCGTATTGGTCTGCTTCCACCCTGTTGCAAATACACTTGTATTCAGTGTGAATTGGGATGAATATATATATATATATATATATATATATATATATATATATATATATATATATATATATATATATATATATATATATATATATATAACCTAACCTAACCTATAAAGATAGGTTAGGTTAGGTTAGGTAGGGTTGGTTAGGTTTGGTCATGTATCTACGTTAATTTTAACTCCAATAAAAAAAAATGACCTCATACATAAAGAAATGGGTAGCTTTATCATTTCATAAGAAAAAAATAGAGAAAATATGTTAATTCAGGAAAACTTGGCTTATTAGGCAAATCGGGCCTTGCATAGTAAGCCGAGAAGTGCGTTCTGGCTACTAGGTACGACATATATATATATATATATATATATATATATATATATATATATATATATATATATATATATATATATATATATATATATATATATGGTGTTAAGGGTCTGAGCAGGTGGTGGAGAGGGTTAAGGCGTACCTGTTATGCCAGTTGCTGGAAGGCTTCTGTGCTGGCTAGGGTTCGAGTCTCCTGGTGGGAAAGTGTTCTAAAGTTGTATACTTAACTCTCGTGTTTAGGAGAGTTGTGCCTTAAGCAGACACTGTGTCTTCCCATATTAACAGGGACTTGATGAAATTAACGTATAAATGACCCCTCACTTGCTCTGGTGCTCTTGGGAGGTGTTGATCTTTGGGGTATTTAAATACTCCGAAATTACCATCTCTTTTAAGGGTCTGAGCAGGTGGTGGAGAGGGTTAAGGCGTACCTGTTATGCCAGTTGCTGGAAGGCTTCTGTGCTGGCTAGGGTTCGAGTCTCCTGGTGGGAAAGTGTTCTAAAGTTATATATATATTTATATATATATATATATATATATATATATATATATATATATATATATATATATATATATATATATATATATATATATATATATATATATATATATACACACACACATACACATCATCTCCCCCTCCAGCACCTCCACCCCCCTCCAATGATCTCCTCCACCTTCCCATTAACAATGAAGACAATAACTTCTATAGCTGTAATATCTTCAAATGTTCCCAGAAACCCTCCAGTAATGTCCCACAACACCAATGGTTAGATGAAGTAGTGTTGGCCAGGTGCCTCAGGGAGCGGGGCTGCCTCGCTGCCTTCACGTGACCTTGAACCAGGTCCACACCCTCAGCACGTCCAACCCACCAGCTGGGAGTGTGCTGGCCTCACCAACACCTCCCTTACTGATATGTCTCTCATCGACATATCCCTCACTCCATCCTCCCTAACGCAATGTGTCTCTCATCCTCCTCTTCTGCACCATCTTCCTCACTAAGTTCTCCCTCACTAAGGTCTCCCTCACTAAGGTCTCCCTCACTAAGGTCTCCCTCACTAAGGTCTCCCTCACTAAGGCCTCCCTCACTAAGGTCTCCCTCACCTCCCCAGGACTGGCAGCTGCACATCCGCTACGTGCAGCCGCGGGACGCCGGGATCTACGAGTGTCAAGTGTCCTCTCACCCTCCCACCTCGCTCTTCGTGCACCTGCAGGTGGTAGGTGAGTGTCAGCCCCCTGTACACCCCCTCCGTGTCCACCACCAGGTGGTAGGTGAGTGTCAGCCCCCTGTACACCCCCTCCGTGTTCACCACCAGGTGGTAGGTGAGTGTCAGCCCCCTGTACACCCCCTAAGTGTTCACCACCAGGTGGTAGGTGAGTGTCAGCCCCCTGTACACCCCCTAAGTGTTCACCACCAGGTGGCAGGTGAGTGTCAGCCCCCTGTACACCCCCTCCGTGTTCACCACCAGGTGGTAGGTGAGTGTCAGCCCCCTGTACACCCCCTAAGTGTTCACCACCAGGTGGTATGTGAGTGTCAGCCCCCTGTACACCCCCTAAGTGTTCACCACCAGGTGGTAGGTGAGTGTCAGCCCCCTGTACACCCCCTAAGTGTTCACCACCAGGTGGTAGGTGAGTGTCAGCCCCCTGTACACCCCCTAAGTGTCCACCACCAGGTGGTAGGTAAGTGTCAGCCCCCTGTACACCCCCTAAGTGTTCACCACCAGGTGGCAGGTGACTGTCAGTGCCTTAATCCCCTTCCCGGCCTCACCCCAGCCACACAGGGTAAGTATTGCTGTGTTTGCTATTTGTAATCACTTGTCATCTGCCTCAGTGGCGGTTAAACAGTGTTAAAGGAACTTTGGAGAGGTAATTTATAACTTTTTTCTCCAGTAAAGATGCAGAAGAAGAAGAAGTATGGGAAAAGGTTTGTTCCTAAATCATTAATCAAATATTTTACATGATATCAAAGGGTTATTTGTAATATTTTTTAGGAAAACTTGCTGGAACAATTGCATGGAAGAATGATTGTGTTTTTACAGTCATGAACATTGGCAGCAAGTATGGGGGTCGTGACCTGTGCGTGTGGGGGTCGTGACCTGTGCGTGTGGGGGTCGTGACCTGTGCGTGTGGGGGTCGTGACCTGTGCGTGTGGGGGTCGTTACCTGTGCGTGTGGGGGTCGTGACCTGTGCGTGTGGGGGTCGTGACCTGTGCGTGTGGGGGTCGTGACCTGTGCGTGTGGGGGTCGTGACCTGTGCGTGTGGGGGTCGTGACCTGTGCGTGTGGGGGTCGTGACCTGTGCGTGTGTGGGGGTCGTGACCTGTGCGTGTGTGAGGGTCGTGACCTGTGCGTGTGTGGGGTCGTGACCTGTGCGTGTGGGGGTCGTGACCTGTGCGTGTGGGGGTCGTGACCTGTGCGTGTGGGGGTCGTGACCTGTGCGTGTGGGGGTCGTGACCTGTGCGTGTGGGGGTCGTGACCTGTGCGTTTGGGGGTCGTGACCTGTGCGTGTGTGGGGGTCGTGACCTGTGCGTGTGTGAGGGTCGTGACCTGTGCGTGTGTGGGGTCGTGACCTGTGCGTGTGGGGGTCGTGACCTGTGCGTGTGGGGGTCGTGACCTGTGCGTGTGGGGGTCGTGACCTGTGCGTGTGGGGGTCGTGACCTGTGCGTGTGGGGGTCGTGACCTGTGCGTGTGGGGGTCGTGACCTGTGCGTGTGTGGGGGTCGTGACCTGTGCGTGTGTGAGGGTCGTGACCTGTGCGTGTGGGGGTCGTGACCTGTGCGTGTGTGGGTCGTGACCCGTGCGTGTGGGGGTCGTGACCCGTGCGTGTGGGGGTCGTGACCCGTGCGTGTGGGGGTCGTGACCTGTGCGTGTGTGGGGGTCGTGACCTGTGCGTGTGTGAGGGTCGTGACCTGTGCGTGTGTGGGGTCGTGACCTGTGCGGGGGGGGGTCGTGACCTGTGCGTGTGGGGGTCGTGACCTGTGCGTGTGGGGGTCGTGACCTGTGCGTGTGTGAGGGTCGTGACCTGTGCGTGTGTGGGGTCGTGACCTGTGCGTGTGGGGGTCGTGACCTGTGCGTGTGGGGGGTCGTGACCAGTGGGGGTCGTGACCTGTGCGCGTCGGGGTCATGACCTGTGCGTGTGGGGGTCGTGACCCGTGCGTGTGGGGGTCGTGACCTGTCCTAATGAAAACACTGTTGTGCTGGTCAACTGTAATTGTCCTATATTTCTCCTCTTCTTCTAGCAAACATATTTACTATTTCTTGTACACCCAAGTTCCAATACAAATTTTTTTACTTTTCTTGCAGACAATTTGTTGGAGAACAAGATGGCGAGAGATAGATCAATGATTCAAGCACGAACAATCTTCTCAATACTTTATATATTTACTCGTGAAAGAAGATAAAATTTACCTCTTATATTTGTTTCGCAACTTTATTGAGCTTGACATGAGCTGCTCAATGTGTTCTCTGTTTACCTTGCCAACAAACGTATTTGTTGAGGTCTAATATGACAGTTCGATTTTGAACACGACCGGCCGTCCCTCTGTGTGTTAGTTGGATGTCGATATTTGGATGTGTCTTTAAAACACATTCCGCTGTGCCAGGCTGAGTGTCTCTCGCGTTGTATTCTTCATTGCATCTTATTTCGCGCAGAGGCGGAGGCGGAGATCCTGGGGGCGCCGGAGAAGCACGTGAAGCTGGGCTCCATCCTGCGGCTGGTGTGCATCATGCACCACACCACCGAGGCCCTCTCCTACGTCTTCTGGTACCGCGGCAACGAGATGATCAACTACGAGTCCGAGGAAGGAACTGGGGTGAGTGGTTTGGTTGACGGGGGTAGACGGGGAGGGTGTGAGTAGACGGGGTAGGGTGTGAGTAGACGGGGGAGGGTGTGGGTAGACGGGGGAGGGTGCGGGTAGACGGGGGAGGGTGTGAGTAGACGGGGAGGGGTGCAGGTAGACGGGGGAGGGTGTGAGTAGACGGGAAGGGTGTGAGTAGACGGGGAGGGGTGCAGGTAGACGGGGGAGGGTGTGAGTAGACGGGGGGAGGGTGTGAGTAGACGGGGGAGGGTGCGGGTAGACGGGGGAGGGTGCGGGTAGACGGGGGAGGGTGTGAGTAGACGGGGAGGGGTGCAGGTAGACGGGGGAGGGTGTGAGTAGACGGGGAGGGTGTGAGTAGACGGGGGGAGGGTGTGAGTAGACGGGGGAGGGTGCGGGTAGACGGGGGAGGGTGCGGGTAGACAGGGGAGGGCTGCAGGTAGACGGGAGGGGAACAGACGAGTAGATGAAGAAGGAAGGGGAGGGAGGGAGGGAGATATACGGTTGAAAGCACTGACCTGCATCACTGGCCCCAATGATGGCCAGGTTGTGGGAGTTGACGAGTGGATCACAGCGCCGGCTGACAGCCCCGTGATTGATTGGCGCTGAGAGAGAGAGAGAGGCAGGGACAGGCGGGCGCTGCAACTGATGAACATTGACGGCTGAGGGACAGGAAGCCTGAGTGTTGTGGTCACTCAATTTGATTTGACTATACAGTTGACTGTGGTAGTAGTGGTGGTGGTGGTGATGGTGGTGGTGGTGGTGGTGGTGGCTGGCTCCTTGTATATAACCTTTCAGTTGTGGTGGAGGACTAACCTAGGTGTTGGTGAGGACAGAGTGTGGTGGTGGAGAGCGATGAACACACCAGTGTGCTGATGGTGACGAGTGCTAGCAGACTACACTCCGGCAACTACACCTGCGCCCCCTCTAACACCAAGCCCGCCTCCATACTGGTCCACGTCCTCAATGGTGAGTATAGTGACCACAGTCACTGTAGTACTGGTGAGTATAGTGACCACAGTCACTGTACTACTGGTGAGTATAGTGACCACAGTCACTGTAGTACTGGTGAGTATAGTGACCACAGTCACTGTACTACTGGTGAGTATAGTGACCACAGTCACTGTAGTACTGGTGAGTATAGTGACCACAGTCACTGTAGTACTGGTGAGTATAGTGACCACAGTCACTGTACTACTGGTGAGTATAGTGACCACAGTCACTGTACTACTGGTGAGTATAGTGACCACAGTCACTGTACTACTGGTGAGTATAGTGACCACAGGCATTGTGGTTATGGTGAGAGTAGTGAGCAAAGTCACTGTAGTAATTGTGAGTATAGTGACCCCAGTCACGAGTAATGGTGAGTGTTGTGTTAATAGTCACTATAGTAGTAGTAGGTATAGTCACTACATTCACTGTAGTAATGGTAAGTATGGTGTTACATAAACTAATAATGGTGACTGAAGTGTCCACAGTCACTAATAATGGTGACAGTAGTAGTGTCCACAGTCACTAATAATGGTGACAGTAGTAGTGTCCACAGTCACTGAAGTAATGGCGGGTACAGTGACCACAAACATTGGAATAACAGTGAGTGTAGCGACCACTGTGTAGTAGTGATGGGTATAGTGAACACCATCACTGTAGTACTGTTAAGTGTCGTGTCCAAATCACCTGAGCAATGGTTAATATCCACAGACACAGTAGTGATGGTAAGCATAGTGACTACAGTCTCTGAATAAATGGTGAGTATAGTGTCACATTAACTGTTTGCAACACAACCAAATGGACCCCACAGTACGTGCGCGGAGGACCCCCTCGGACTCACCGTTGGACCCCAGAGAGTACCGGTGTACAGTGCAGCTCAACGGGACGTCTGTCTTCCAGTCACCTGTCCAGCGTCTTCTGCTAAGCTGGGCAGGGTCCAGCACCGCCCGGGCACACGGCAAGATGCCACCACATGCCCCAACAACATCTTAGGGCACTGCTTGCTCCACCCTCTTAACTTCATATCAGCACTCAAAATGGGGACTAAATATACAGTAACCGGAGCAAGGGGGAAGGTTGTGCGCCTCTGATAACTTATCATTAACGCTATTGTCGTCGTATCAGTCGATTGGTAGACGGATACAGATGCAGAGGAGAAGAATATGTAGGGGGGAAGAAGGCAAAGTCTTTGATATTCGTGGTTCCACTCCGTAATCCCTGGCTGCTCTCCGTGGGCCGTGTTTATATGGCTTATGACACTTCTCTCAGAGCTGTCCTCCTGTCTCCCCTACCTTGATTCCGGGTCACCAGGGCGGGTCCTTACAACTGTCTCCTGCCTCCCCTGCTCATTTGCCTGTGAGAGAGGACCCGAAGGGGTTTGAAAAGACTAAGGCTTTACTTATCATTTCCAAAATGTGGTATACAAATATATATATACATTATGTGGTAGATAAGGCGAACCACCTCTAGTTGTGTTTGTAGGGACCCTCGGCCTCTGAGACGATATGTAGTATCCGGGGGAGCCTTGTGGGGCACCCACGTATATATCACATATTGTCACATATCACCCACTCACATATTGTCTCCTCCTACCGTTCCCCTTATATATTTGTCATTTATCGTGTTATTTAAAACTTTAATACACAAAATGGGTTACAACTGGGAAACCAACTCAAGTACTATCGTCCAAGAACCAAATGTTGAGCTCATCGTGGTCTCCGGTGACTGCTTTAACGACTAGACAGAACAGAAAATGAGCATGGGAGGGGTCACCCTGTTGGACACCTTCTCCTGAGTCAATTTTGTGTTCCTGAATAATATTGTTAAATCCATATTATAACAAGATTGTACAAGTGGATAGAGGGACGGGAAATAACGATGCACATCATGCAGTGCTGCATCCCTTCTAACCAGCTTAAAGGCAATTTTGATATCCAGTTTGATCAGGGCATTTTTTGTCATGTTGGCAATGAAGGCTCTAACTGTGTGAACCGCCGCCTCATACCCTTGGAGAATGCCATATCCGAGCTGTTTTGGCTTCAGCATGTCTGCTGCTTCCTGGCTAACGGTTCTAGCAGCAGACGAGGCGCCGGAGGGAATTGCCTACAGCTATTGGTCTCATGTCTCCATCCTTTTTCCTCAGGGTACAGAGGGTAGCATAAAAAGACACCTTTTAGCCTCCGGTATGTTGCCAGTAAGACATGTGTTGGTAAATCTAGTTAATTTCACCAGGAGGCCCTGTGCAATGTCTCCCAGTGCAGGGTTGAGCATTTGTTCGATGTGGTTGTGTCTTTAAGTCCTGTTAACCCACCTGCGGATCCTGGCATTAAGGATACAGCTGCTTTATGCACCAAAGATTTGACCACACACAAGAGTTCTGCTCTGGTGACACCGACTAGTGGAACACTGTCGTCACGTGGAGCTCTGGGTGGGTGTTTGTCTCTCAGGGCTTGTGCTGTATGGGCATCTCTGGTGGCAACTGTGTCCACGTTGGTGATGACTCGTATTGCCCCTACTGTGTTGCCTTCTTCTGTTTTGTTGTTTATTGTTGCTCTGATTTTGGATGCCTCGGTCGCACTGTTACCTTTCCAGCTGCGGGTGGTTTATGGCACGAATGGGAAGGTTACCGGGCTGTCCTCTCTGGGAAAACTATTTATGGCTGTAATGAGTGAGGAAGCTAGTGTTTTGTCTCTCCTTCCAGGGACAGCTAGACATATGTTGTCAAACAGGAGGACGTTGTGTCATACTCGGGTTCTTCCGGGAGAGTCATTGACCTATCTCAGGAGGCTGGAGAGTTTGGCTGGTGCTTGGAAGTGGGCAGCTTTGGAGATGTGCTGCAAGGTTCCAGCCGACGTCGCTTTGATGGCTTCTTGTAGGCTATCTATCGACATGAAGCTGTTGGAGGTGTTTCCCCTGACTGTTGGTGCAGGCGGTTGACTAGTATTCTCTTTGAGAGGGCACCATGTGGCATGTTTACGCACATCCCCGTTGTACTTGGGATGATACCATACTTTGTCGCGTTCTCTGCATGTGCCTTGTCTGCTGCCGCCGCTTGATGACTTCTCTTGGCCGAGAGAAGCCTGGCTGTCTGTTGTGATCTGTGATCTGTAGACTTACTGATCTCTCCTGTACCTCCATTATCACTGCATAATGTCATGATTCCAGGTAGCCTATCCTAGGACTCCTCCAGCATGAGAGTTCCTATTCATTAGCCGTTGTTTGCTGTTCATTTTTTTTTGTCGGGATGTATTAAATAGATGAACTAGGTAGGGTCAGTACGTGTGTTGTGTGTGATTTACATGGGGACGAGGTCTCCGAGGGGGCTTGGATAGTTCCCGCCCAGCGGACGGCAATGCAAAATCTTTCCAGAAACTCCAGACACCTGTGTGGGGGAATATTTCACACTTACATTACAATTTACTGCACAATAAATTTATATAATAATAATATACAGCTACGAGGATTCATCCTCTGTTAAGCTTACCAGAGGATTTATTAACCTTTAAACTGAATAATTATGAGGATTTACCTTTATTACAATATTTACGTATTTTTACTTATTATGATAATATTAAGGGATGATGTAATATTGATGACGTCAGTCAGCTTAAGGTCATCACCACGAGGACTGAGCAACGGAAATATTGTACTTAAGGTTCGTGAATGAATAGTACGACGAAGATAAATGGCAATGCTTTATATATTATCCCAATTAATATACTTAATTCAATCTTGTAATTGATTTGAATTAAACAACTCCTCTCCCGAATATGTCAATATTAACTCTCGCTTGAATGATGACGAGAGCGGGTGGGGGGGGGGGGGGACTGGCCATATTGTTTCTTTGAAGGGACACGCGAGCAAGACCGAGTCTCCGTCCTAGAGGCCAAAATACTGTCATCTCCCTGCTCAACCTGTCCTCTTACAAAGAACGTCGCTTTTCGGGCGTATGCGTTACTAAGGCTAAAAATCGTACTAGAAAATGGAAGCGGCTCGCGAAAGTAACGTACTGTTCCGTTTTCTGTTTTAGGTCCACTGGTAGGTTAGGATAGGACACTTTAAATTGACGGTTTTCTTGACGTTGGGAAACCTTAGGAGGAGGGTCTGGCCAACTGATGGTTCACATACGGCGCCTGGCGAGGTGTTTGGGGGCCTCATGCTCGTCCAGCACTCCTTCCTGACCCGATGCCACCTAAAGATGCTGCTAAGATGGGTCACAACGTCTTCTTCCACCGGCTCCTCGTGTGTTCCCTTCCTTGGTGCACAAGGAACGGCGTCCTCCTCTAGCACGTCCAGCATCTTCAAGCAGTCGTCGTCTCTCACACCACCACCAACTGCTCATGTCCCAACGGTCGTCGCAACTTGTCGCACGCAGCTTAGTAGCGAAGCTTCTGACAATCAGCTTTCTTGAGACCAGCTCCTGGGCTCCCGCACACTGCTGGCTGTCGTCACATTCCTTCCTTGGGTTGGCCAAACTGACACAACAGGAAACTGATGAAACAGAACCAACAGGGGGGCTGCTAAGTGCCAGGTGATACAATGTCGCCTCTTTGAAATCTTTGTCCACGAGTGAAGGATCTTGGCCAGTGTGTGGGCTGTCTTGCCACCATCCTTAACGGCGCTAATTTGCTCCAACAGGTAGTGTCCTTCCTGGTTGTCATGGTAACCAGGTGTTATGGGATTATATGTCGCTAAGTTTGTCTGTTTATTTTCTTTCGTAAGTGGACTGTATATTACAGTAATTTATAGCTGACTGTATGACATTGGTCAGTTTAATTTTAACACAGTTGTGCACCGTGCGAGGTTTATAATGTTAAGTCAGACAGAACAGGAATTTTACATCTATTCACCTGGGCACTAGGAGGCTCGAACTATGGACCCCAAGTGTGTGAATTTAAAGGAGTTGTACTTGTTTAATGTTATTCAAGTTTGTGTACTAAACGAATTTGGTAGTATTTATTCCCTGTACTATCAAAATT